ACGAAAATTTGAAAATATCGTATTAATTAGTTTTACTGGGAATCGAACTTGCTTATGTAAAGTTTTCGTACTGCCTGTGCAATCTACTGTGTAATGGAATGTATCGGTTTAGGTGTAGTTGTGTTCTGCTCCAGAATAAATGCGCAATACGCTTTCTATAATAGACTTAGTTTTAGTGCGTCGTACTTGTTAAAAATTCGAGCATTTTTAATAAAAAGTTCTGGAATAGTAGAGATTGTTGGAGTAATTTACAAGAGTCGTCAAAATATTGATGACAATTTAAGTTTTACAGCTTTAAAAGTATCGAGAAAGGAAATCTTTTAAATGTTCTGTTATTTATTTCAAAATAATTCTTATTGCTGTTGCCCAAATGTCAACTTTTATATTATTCTGGTAAATACTTCATATTATTGTTTCCAAACCGGAATGCAGTAATGGTCGCATTACTGCTTGGTGGCAGAAATAAGTAGGTATGGTAGCAGTCCAGGGAAGTGGACTAACTCTTTCACAAAGAGCTCTACTGAACTAAATCTTATTCAGAACAATCTAAGAGTGACTTTTCGTTTTAGTCTCTCGGGTGTATGCTATTAATATGCAGTATGCTATATTTTTATTGTATATAAATCGTGTACCATACAGACGGCATATCTAATGGAAAGTGGTAATTGCCGTATGAAGTCGTTTGCGGTAGGAAGTAATTAAGGATAATAGTATAATATGTATCGCAAATCGGTTGCCAGCTTCTGACTTTAGTTTCTGTTTTGTGTGTGTTTCTTCTTTTAATTATTTCATATTCTTGTGAGTGTTTATAGGAAGACATTTTATCTATATAGGTTATCTATCTACCAGCAGTAGAGCTCCTTGTGAAAGAGCTCATTCAGGGCAGTACTGCCGCGTTACTTAACCTAGCCTTAGAGAAAAAAAGAAATGAGAATGCAGAAGGTTCAGTGATCGATAAATGACGTCAGATTCGTCACACTGTTAAGTGAGCATTACTGCGTACTGGTTTTGAAGGATAAGAGTGTTGGTGAAATTACAGACACATGGGACTTGTCCACTTATGTCTCAGGGTGATGGGCGCAGTGGCAGTACCCCAGACCTTTGCGATTTAAAGCACTGAGTGGCACTGCAACGATTATGGATAGGCGTATAGCTTACCATCAAGTGCACGACTTGTTCGTCCCGTCACTTAATATTATAAAAACAAACATAAAAAAGGTAAAAAATAATTACAATAAATACATTCGGTCGTGAATGATGTCGGACTTTCAAAGCCTTGACTTTTGCATGAAACTCCTCAGTATGTTAAAGAAAAAAAAAACAAGAATGAGCACTGATATTTCCAGTTTGGAAGAGATTTGTAGAATATGTTTATTAACGCTCCATAATTTTGTTTGGCAATTTGTTAGAAACCATTTTGAAATGATCATGTAAGTAATGAAAGTAATTCAAATTTTCTGTAGTTAGTACGTATTTATTTCGTTATTACTATATAATTAGCTATAACTTCATAATAACTGAGGAAATTTTTTTATCTGTAATTCATTGTACTGTATAGTAAACTATAATGGTGTTCGTTATTGAACAGTACCTTATAAAATACTAACGATGACGTAAGCTAGTTAGCTGAAGAGATCTTGGACTCAAAAACCATTACAAAACAACAATAGTTGCTCCCAGAAATTCTGGTACGACTCCCAACAATAAATATTATTTATGTTACGCCATACCTTGTATTTACATACAAACCTGGCCTAACGTCATTTTGACATGTTCGTTGCCGCGTTTTTAGCCACCAATCACGATTCAGTTTCGCGGCGATAGTCCACGCATGCGTACGCGTTCGACTTTTTAAAAGCAGCTGGAATATTCAGCCAGTGTTTTTTGAAGTGTTTTGAATTATTTAGTTTTTTTTTGTAAATTGGGATAAGGTTCGCTGTGCAGTGTTGGAATTTTGTTCTCCCTTTTTATGGCTTCATAGTGAGGTAATCTTGCAAATATTAAAATTTTATTTGTTACGAAATGTTTTTGTTGTGATACTGGTTGGGGCTTGGTCGGAAAAATATGTGAACGTTGTTGTTACCTATACGTGTTTTGTTTTAATATTTATAAGTTCTGAGAAGTATTTTGTTTCTTTCATGGAAAGACATCAACGCCAGTCGTTGTGTTACAAAAATGTGATAATTTTTTTTTGTGATAAACAGGTTTTACTAGGCTTGGATAAAAAATTTCGATACTATATCAAAATGACTAAATTTTTTTAAGTTTGGACATACCAAATAACGATATTCTTTATCGATTGTTCGAGTAGTCTACTTCGAAATTTTTTTGGATGCAGTTCAGTATCCTATCCTATCCTATCCTTTGATCCAAACATGAAATATTTCCTTTTAGCTCTACTTAAGAGATTTCAAGATATATTTTGTTCCTAAAGAGCTTTTTAATTGGGATATGGATATTATGGATGGATATAATAAAGCAAAAGGTATTATGAGATAAAACCATTTTTATCACACTTGCGTTGATGTCTTTCCATAAAGAAAGCCAAACACTTCACGGAACTTGTAAATAATAAAATAACACATCTCTTTTCATAGTTACCACTTCGGTTCTGTTCAGCCACAAGACCTTTGATTGAAACTCTAGAGAGTCCTATTAAATAAATGCAAAATCATGTGGAAATAGCGAACATAATAAATGTGGATGCAATTAATTACATAGATAGTTTAAATAAAAAATAAAAAATATTATTATAATAATATTATTATTATGTATAAGGAAATATTTTTTTATGATGATGCCATACTCTCTTTTATTTAAAACTGGCGTAGATAGTAACCTATATATATATATATATATATATATATATATATATATATTAATAGCAGTAGAGATCCTTGTGAAAGAGTTCATCCAGGGAAGTACTGCCATTTTACTTATTTTTGCCGCCAAGCAGTAATATGAGCATTACTGCGTTTCTGTTTTGACATGGAACTTGTCAAATATGTCTCAGGGTGACAGGCGCAGTGGCAATGCTTCGCAGATCATTCATTGCTATTCAAAACTCTGAGTGGTAATGCAACTACCAGGGCGCACGACTTGTTCGTCCTATCACTTGATATGATAAAAAAATATACTAATCCATAAACATCCAGGAAAAAACGTTAACACATAATTTTATTGTCGTTGCTTTTTGTAGCATTTTCCATCGTACAAACACATTGAAATTGCCGACAGATACAATACATAATGCATGGGATGAAGAAATCAAATGCATGTTATAATTAAATTTACAGCTACGTAATTGTTAGGTTGTACGCGAGCTACGATGCGCGAAGACGTAAACGCTTCAGCATACAAACTACATGTCTATCATATGAGCTTAAGAATATTTTCCAATATATATTGCTAATTCGTGTCGATTCAGAGAATATTATTTTTTGTTTCATACCTATAATCATAACATGACAATTTAAAATACAATGCCAAGGGATAATATAATCGAGACTATATACTCGTACATAAACTCACGCCCTTCTCCCACGAGAGGGGTAGGCAATCCACGGAACGCCACCTTATGATAAGTACTATCCTGACACAACTTTCGAGTCTCACATATACCAACTACCCGTTTCATACAACTTCTTTTATTCTTGTCACTTCGGATCCCAGACTTTTTGAGGTCATCACTGATCTGGTCTATGTAAGATGATGAATTTTGGTATAGTGGTAGATGGGACCTAGGAGAAAGACATAAGCTACTTGTGGTCACTAAAGTAAATTTTCAAGGGGATAAAATAGCGGATGAAAGTTTGTACGGAGAACCAATAAAAGTATGAAATTAGTAGGTTACTCGAAATACTTATTCTACGCAGTCGAAGTTACAGGCATCACCTAGTAATATTTTACATAATTTATTTATTAAACAACAAGTTAAAATATACAGGTGACGTGCAATAAAAGCTTAAATACTAGAAACTAAAACTAAGATTAAATTACATGTAGCTATAGCTAGTAATTAGGTAATATTGGTGACTGGTGGCTTATTCGTGGAGGGCTGCGGGGTAGGCGAGCTCGCAATTAAAAGGAAAGGGAAGAGGACCATGCTAACCAGCCTTCAGCTCCAAAATGCCCAAGAGGCTCGACGTTCACACAATTACTTGTGGATCGGCCTTAATTAATGCCAGTATGATTTGCGATAAAGCTCAAAGCTCAAAGCTGGACGGAGGGGAAGGTGCGAATAATTTTTAAAAAATGCGAAAACAGGCGAACACAAGTTTTTCGGTTCTTTTTATTTTATAAATTTTCACCCTTTTATTTGGGTAGGCAAACGTTCATACAGCCTCTTCATATGTTTAGTAGGTATATTTCCTTGTTTTGATAGAAAGGCGGTTGAAACGTAGCGTCATTTTCTTTTTTTTATGTCACTGCGGTTGATGCGGCTTTCGCATAGCACGGATTGGGATTTTGGGAAGTGAAAAGGAACTGCGAATTCAGACGTAAACTATAGCCTGATGAAGTGAAGGAAAATTATATGGCGTTATTATGGCGTTATTATTACCAAATATAAAACTAAACAGTATAACTAAAAGTGTATAAATATATTTAGAAAAAATTCGATCCGGCCGGATTCGAATCGACCGACGTCTTCTAGCAAACTGTGTCAGACGCTATGTCAATTAAGCCACGGAACGAACCAGCGGACCTCACGAATTTTTCTATGTGTTCGTTGTAGAATCTTTGTATTAGGTTTTCAACGACTTTTTAGCCGTAGCGCCATCTATGAGAAATCTATGAAAGTATTTCGTCACCCAGTTTGATATCTTTACAGCTACCAGCCCTGGCCAGAGATGTCATTATTAACTTTTTAATTAAATTTTCATTGAATTGATATTCAATAATTTGTTTGTGAAAATACTCTACTAGTTTGTTATAATTAGTAACACTAAACCATCTAAGCCAAGGAACGAACCATAGCGTCTGGCACGGTTTGCTAGAAGACGTCGCTTCCAGTCCGGCCGAATCGAAGGAATTTTTTCTAAGTATTCTATTATCAATACAAATTCCTTTATACTGTATAATTCATTATCCAATAAAAGTTTCAGTCGGGTATAAAATATTTACATTAGATAATACTACTTCAACTGTGAAGTGATCATACGTGAAAAATGTGTTTATCACATGCAAGTCGCAGAAATAAAGCGAATTACGTAAAACAAATTATGTACATAATAATATGAAATTTCGTAACCCGCATAAACAAGCATAAAAACATTATCGACTAATTTTGTTCATTATAAACATTTCTCCTCAAAAATTTACATTTTACCTCCAATGAACACTAGGCCAACTTTATTTTTTTGTCATTTTATGTTATTTTTGTAAACACCTATAAATATTATTATTATGTTCCTCGAATTTTGTGAAAAAACAAAACTCGAATAAAAAATAATAAAACGAATTTTGTTAATCAAAGAACGAACCAAAAAACAAAATAAAAACAGAATTGGTCAGGAAATTAAGTTGGCGTACTGTTCATTAGAGGAGGTATCGAGATGTGGCCATATTACAAGGGTGTAGAATTTTGTGTACTATTTTTTTTTACTAAATACCACTTTTAAATTTATCATTTACAAGCATTGGAATTTACGTAAACTGCCCAAGCGTGTAACAAAAATAGTCTAAAAATTTTATGATAAATAAAGCAATAAATGTTAGACAACAATACATAATTATGTTGCTCTGATTCCAAAGCAAGTAAAGCACATGTGTTATGGAAATCGGGTACCACAAACATCCAGACCCGAGACAATATAGAAAAGTTACTTTATTCTACATTGACCGGGATGGGGTTCGAATCCATCACACACCATGAAATCCGATGTGCAAGCCACTCGACCACGGAGGTTGTCAAATCACCCCTAGACACGTTTTTTTTATCGTCACGTAGACATCACTATCATGTCATCGTCATTATCATTATCAGATTATTAAACTCCACTGAGATTATGATAATATTTTTTATTCTGCTTAAATCTAGTTATAATGGCAGTTTTGAGTCTCAGTAGAGTGGCAGATGGCAGTCATTAATTCAATCACTAACTATCGATGTTGCTTTACTTTAAAACTACCATGGAAATTACAATGCATATCTTAATTTTTATCTCGTTGAATATAAGGTAGCGAATTGGGGCATTTATGATGGTATACTTGTAAACTATATGTCTTTTGTCACCGATCTTTTGAGAGATGCAAAAATTCATTGTTACGCAATGTGGAAAGAAGATTTTGACAGGAGATCTGTGGAAAAATATATATGGTATAAAACTATACAAGCTGAATCGCCAAAAATACCTTGGTTTACACAAATTAGCCTGAACCGGCCTCTACTAGTCACCAGTATGAGACTGCGCACCGGACATATTCCACTAAATGCGTTCGGTCACCTAATGAAGATAGTAGACACTCCGAACTGTACTATTTGTAACACCAGAGAAGACACCTACCATGCTTCAATGGAATGTACGATGGAACGAAGACTGATAGAACTAGAGGCTGGAATCAGACTAATCGATGTTGGCATGTGCAATTACATATTATCTGAGCCTAATAGTACCCTGGCTAATAAAATATATAAGTTTCTACTTAACTTACTTAAAAATAGATGGTGATGGCATTACCGCTAAGCGATAAAAGCTCTGGTTAAATAAAAGTTTAAAAAGAAATCTCGTTGATTCAGCAGTAAATTGCTTTCTTTAAATTAAATGTAATTTTTTATGTCAAATAATTATTTGATTTTTGAGATGTGGAATTACCGCCGTATTTTAAGAATCTCGTGGCGTGACTGGGGACAAATCAATAAACTGAAGAAAAAAGTGGAGTTTACGAACACCATTAAGAGCAAGAAGATGTCTTACTTCGGCCACGTCATGAGGAAGGATAAATACAAATTACTACTGCTTATCATCCAACGCAAAATCGCTAG